GACAGCCAGATATATAGACAAATAGATATATTATATAGGCCTATTATATATTTCGCGCAATTTATCGATTACGATAGCGCTGCGCACTTTAAAGATCGTATCATTTCATCATTTTTGTGAGCTCTTCAGTTTCTTATCTTTATTTGAATTTGAATTTTCATATTTTTACACTTTTGAACGTGAACATTCCTTGATGTGAGTAAAAGAATAAAGATGGAAGTGAATAAAAAATTATTTCAAAAATATAAAATAAATTAAATGTACTTTGTGAACTTTTTTGATACCTGGCCTTGTATCATTCTTTTGAGCTCTTCAGTTCATACTTTAATTTTAATTTTAATATTTTTACACCTTTGAAAATATATGTGAATGGTTTTTTTAATGAGCTAAAGAATAAAGATGGAAGTGAATTTTTAAAATTATTATTTCAAAAATATAAAATTTTAACGCAATCTTCAGATTGCCACGCAATTATACAGTCGTAAAAACGCGCACTGCAATTTTAAGATCGCGCTGATCGGTAAATTGCCCAGAACACTCATATTTACATAGACCTAAAGGCCCCGTTATAATTATCATAATCAATATGATTATCAATATATAGGACATTATCAAATTTCCGATTTAGATTGTGTTGCGTGTTTTAAAGACAGTATAATTACCTGGCAATCTTAACTTTGCGCTGTGTGTTTTAATGATCGTGCGTATAATTGTATTATTCTTGTGAGCTCTTCAATTTCATATATCTTAATTTTCATATTTTTACACTTTTGAAAATATACGTGAATGTCCCTTGATGTGAGTAAAAGAATAAAGATGGAAGTGAATAAAAAATTGTTTAAAAAATATATAAGAAATTAAATGTACTTTGTGAACTTTGAATTTGAAACCTGGCATTGTATCATTCTTGTGAGCTCTTCAGTATCATATTTTAATTTTAATTTTCATATTTTTACACCTTAGAAAATATATGTGAATGTCCCTTGACGTGAGCAAAAGAATAAAGATGGACGTGAATTTTCTTTTTAAAATTATTTCAAAAATATAAAATTTTATTGCAGTCTTCAGATTGCCGCGCAATTATACAATCCTTAAAAGGTGCAGTGCAATTCTAAAATTGTGCTGATCAGTAAATTGTGCAGAACATTCATATTTATATAGACCTATACACTATACGCCTCGTTACAATTATTATAATCAATATTATGTATATCTATATACATATATTATTATATATACATTCCATGCAATTCACCGATTAAGATTGCGTTGCGTGTTTTAAAGACCGTATAAATGCAGGGCATCTGAAGACTGCGCTGTAATCTTAAGATTCCGCTGCGCGTTTTAACGATCGTATAATTGTATCATTCTTGTGAGCTCTTCAGTATCTTATTTTAATTTTAATTTTCATATTTTTACACCTTTGAAAATATACATGAATGTTCCTGGAGGAGAGCAAAAGAACAAAGGTGGAAGATCGCAGTCTTCAGATTGCCGTGCAATGATACAATCGTTAAAACGTGCAGCGTAATTTTAAGATTTTGTCGATCAGTAACTTGCGTGGATCACTCATATCTTTAATATTTTCATATTTTTACACTTTTGAAAGTGTATGTGAATGTACCTTGGTGTGAGTAAAAGAATAAAGATGGTACTGGATTTAAAAAAAAATACTTTTAAATGTTTAATTAATACATTTGTGTATATTAACGCAATCTTCAGATTGCTGAGCAAGTATACGATATAGTTAAAATGTGCAGCCCAATCTTAATATTGCTGCACAATTGTATGACCATTAAAACGATCAGTAAATTTACAGGAACACACATAATTATAATATTATATGCCCCGTTATAATTATTATAATCAAAATAACTATCAATATATTGGTCTATCACCTCTATAACTTAGATCTAAAAAAATTTTTTTTCATGTACATGGATACCAAATATCATTTAAATCTAAGCCATGGTTCAAAGTGGTCTCATCCCATTATATTTGCTTCAGAGCTTCCAGCAGCTGATGTCATTTTTCGAGGATTGTCGGGTCCAGGGCAGAGCCCTGGCAGGGGGTTGAAGGGGGTCAGCGCCCCCCTTATGTTTGAGAAATTTTGGTTTCAGGGCATCCTAAGTAAGCCATTTCTGGCTATTCAGGCCTAAATTTAACAAGAAAATAAGTGAGAAAAAAAACATACCTTGCATCTAGGCCTACATAATTTTCTGCTTGTGTTAATCCATATATTTCCAAATCCAAATCCATGCTTTCTCCCTTGTACTCATACTGTACATCCACAACTAGATCTATAAAACTTGACAGTTAATGTTCAACTTTTTTCTGCTTGTGTTGGTTTGCACCATCATCATCATAAGGTGTAGAATCCTTATAATAATAGTATAACAGCTTGACTTGATCTAGATATCTAGATCTAAATAACTTGACAGCTTATATTCAACTTAAATCCACAACAATACTTACAAATAAACAAATCTGGTAAAAAAATCAAGCTCTCTTTAGAGTTTTCTTTTCTTGGCAGGCCCATGATCTATTGAACCACAATCGTCATTTCTTCCTCTTGTTTACAGAGCTGGTGCCCTGCTTCTTGAGCTTTAGAAAGTTAAAGTGAAAGACACTGTCTGTAAAATGTAAAGTGTTTTTTTAAAATATTTTTTTTTTACGGCGCTCGCAACTGCATAAGGTCATATGAGCGTGCGGGACACACCTAATATTTTCAGTTGGTAGGAAATTTTGAATTTTGCCTGGGTGGCGGCCGAAGCCTACTCTTATCGATTTTAGACCACCAAGGGATCTTTAACGTGCGCAACTTGCACACGGGCCCTCCGAGATTTTGTCCGAGAAGGCTAGGTGTAGATCTTTCCTACCAGAAGATCAGGGGTGTGGCAGAAAGACAGCAGTAAGGAGGAGCCAAGGAGTAGCAGTAGAAAGGCTGCAGAAAGAGTCAGGAGCCCATAGGAGGGGGCAAAGGAGGTGAGGGGGTGGGGGCAGAAAGTGGAAATGAAAGCAGACAGCAGAACATTGTTAGAGAGCAGGAGAGAAGGTGAAAAGAGACGATTTTAGAAAAGAAAATTTTTCGGTCGCTACCCGGATTCGAACCCGGGACCTTTGAATGAGAGGCCAACACCTTAACCTCTAGGCCACGAGAGCCCCCAGACACTGTCTACATTTTCAAATAAAAGAGCACATCCGGTATGGGTTGGCTATTGTTGACTATTGGTAATAACGGAAAATTTTTAGATCTATTTCTCATTTTTGAAAACAATTTTTATAATTTTTTTTCGAAGTGGCTAGCTGTACTTAGATCTAGGTTTGGCCCTATCGACTCAAGCCTGTTAAGTACACAGGTCTCATTAGATCTAGATCTAGTAATTATTCAGGTTCAAATACATGCAAGTCAGTAAGGCACCTTTTGGTTTTGTCTGAAATACAAAAATACTTTAGGCATTGCAAACTAAAAATTTCATTTACAATTCAGCCATCAGTCATTAAGTGCGGCTAGCCTCTTCCATTTTTTTTTCCACGAACATTTTTCCATTTGCGGAATTCTGTTAATTTGCGGAAATCCGCAAAATTGCGGAAGACTGGAAGCCCTGTTATGAAGACGCTTGGGCCCGTTTTTTTTCCCCCCCACCAACCCCCACGCAATGCCCCTATGGAATCTCACTACTGAGCGAGCCAGTGCCAGCAGCGGCGGCCTTCTCAAGATGGTGGCCGGTTGGTTAAAGGTTTTTCACAGCTTGCGCGGTCCATTATCTTTTTAGGTCAGTGGCCCTGATCCTCCCCCCGAAAAGGGTCATGCCCGCTAACCTCAGCCAAATCCCTCTGCCTCTAGGATAATTTCCGGTAAAACGAGGGGGAGAGAATAGCGAACATGGGTTATTCTCACCCGGGGTGAGAATAACCACTTTCAATTCAAAAACACAAATGCTTACCTTTCAGGATTTTTCTAAAAGTTCCTTTGTCTAACTTGGCGAGCGGTTTGATCATCCTGTGGATATTTTGTGGGACCCGAGCACCATAAAAAGCAGTTCTGTCCAAGCCAACAGTCCCTCCTGCTCCTCTAACTTGAACGATAGACATGATGAATCACTGACACTTCTAACTAATTGTGAAGAGTAAATGATTTGAGAATGACACTGAAATCCGAAGAGTCACTATTGTTTGTAAAGGCTGGCAAAGTTTGAAGGGGGCGGGGTCACTGCAACTCGACTGCCAAGTAAATAAGGACACTCAGACACCGAGGTCTGCAAGTCCCACCTTAACACAGCGAGCGCCTAAAAAAACTTACAGGCTACAAAAAAATCCCATAAGAGAGTATCAAAATGTCAGACTCTTTTGAATAATTGGATATCGTTATCTCGCCTTGAGTAATTCATAACAACTGTGGTTGTTTATCGACACAGCGGTGGTCATATCATGAGACCACAACACAAGAACCGGAAGTTTTAAATTGTTGACAAAATCTTATCGCCTTGTTGATTTCACCGAGTGGTTCTTAAAAAATAAAAACGTTGTTTCTGAGCCGCAAAATAATTATCTGCTCCGAATACAATGAAGATCGATATTTACGGTATCTCACAAAGCGTCAACCAGTGACCATCTTGAAGTAGTCTTTGTCACTACGAACAACACATGGCCAAGTACATATTACATAGGCTTAAAATATAATATAGTTTTTGGAGAGGTTATTGTGTGTTAGAGTTAAAGAAGTAGAAAGATACGTACTTTAACTTATACAGGGTGAACCAAAAAGAAAAAAAACAACAAACCAACAACCCCAACGTGTACATCTCAAACAAAATTTGTACTAGATCTAGAATGTTGTAATTTTTAACAGATATAATTCATTCAAAAGAAATTTGTTTGGCATAAAATTCACAAAGAAGAAACGTATTTTCGAAAACGGATAGATCTATGGCTTTTTATAAAAACGACGTGTACGCAAAATGCACCAATATTAAACTATAAAAGATCATGTAAGGAAATTCATTTAACGATTGGGTTTTTTACCCCCTTTCCTTTCATTTTAAAAATCTACTCTTTCCACCCCTGTAACCTTTAAACAATATTTTTTTCGCCTACAGAGTAAAAAAAAAAAAAATTAATTCTGGAATTCTGAGAACCAATGGTCCATTATAGTCCATATGTCAATGTCCTCCTTTGGACTCGACACACTTGAAGGCGTCGTTCGTAATGTTTCAGTGGTGGCTGCCCAAACGCAAAGATCCACTCAGCCATGAGTAACCAAACACAACGTACACCTTACAGTATGGAGCTGTTTCTAGAGTCAATAATAGGGGAAGGGGGGAGGGGGGTGAGGTTGCCCACATAGACAGAATTTGTGGAGTTGAATAACTTGAAAGGTGAATATGGACTTTGCCAAGGAACAAAATTCCATAGAGGAAATGTTCACGCTTTTCAAGACAATCGAGAAATCATGAACACATTGCTATCCTCTAATACTACTACTACTGGATAGCTTAGCGAACAGGAAAATGGTACAGGGTACAGGTAGTAGATTATGATCTGCCACGAAAATGAGAAGCACAACAATGGTGATTTTGTGCAGGGAAAAAAAAGAGGGAACGAAAAGAGGACCTACAGTAGGCCTACCAGAGGCGTCCTCAAACAACCTGTCGACGGAAAGCAAAGAAGTAGACCCCAAGTGGTGTCCTTATGCCCAGTTCTTGTATCTTTAATTTTAGTAAGAGTTTTACAGCACTTGCAACACAGAAAGGCAAGGTCATATAAGTATAAAGTGTTGAAGATTAGAGGTGTTACTAAAAAGTAACCAAAAAAAAAAAAGGAGAGGTCAGGACGATAGATGTTGGACAGAAAAAAAGGAGCAAACCACACCAGAGCATCTGTAACCGCCTGCTTCACTTACCTCTCACTCTCAGTCAGATGAAAGACGATATAAGGATTTGTAAACAGAAGTAGACCTTCCCTTCCTTTATGTTTACCATTTACCAAACACATGCAAACAGTTGCTACGCAGAACGTAAAAACAAATTTCTATTATAATATAATAATCTTTTTTTTAAAACAAGGACACACAGACAAACTGCAATATTGTGACAGTGTTTCAACAAGATTTATTATTTCTAAAGCGAGTACACACTGTAGTCACAAATAAGTGACAATTAGTCACCCATGAACACTTTCACTTACTTAAAACATACCTTCATGAAATACACATGACATGTACTTCAAGAGATAGGAAAGCAGTATATAAAATGACATACTGGACGTTATTTTGGTACATGTAAGCTTTGTCTTTATTGCAGGCATGTATGTGAGCAAAAGCAAGGACAATCCTCATTGGGTAGACTTTACAATATGATCCAACGAGCTTGCATGAAAGACCAAGATTTCAAAATTAATCACCAGCCTTGCAACAGAAGGGAAGTCTTTTAAAAGTCAGTTCAGTTCACACTGATCTATTTTTACAAAGCTGTAATCAGAATCATATTACATTACTGAACATATAGATCACTTTAATAAACTAAAAGTTTCTTGAAATTGATCAATGTTCAAACATCATATTACATCATGTGCATGGTGTGTCCAATAGGCAACAAAGTCAAAACTAAAATAAAAGTAAAAGTAAGACAAAATGTAAAACAACTTAAAATTGAACAAAGTAATATGTGGCATGATAGTGAAATCAGGCGCTCGTCAAAATACAGCTGAACCTGCCAAGACGGCCACCTGTACAAACAGATAATCCCCCCCATCTCTCTTTTTTGTGTCCCCCCACCCCCCTTGCGCCTAATCCAGGTTCAGTTCCGCGCGGTCCTCATCACAGAGCGTCCAATAATCCCGCCTAACCCCCGCAGGCTCTGCCCGGGATCTCACTCCCCTCCTTGCCCGGATCGCGCAGAATGTCTGTTGATTTGATTTTCTCTCCGCGTCTAGTTCGGGTCTGTCGTTTTGTGCGTCTATCGTCTGTCTGTCTGTCTGTCTGTCTGTCTGTCTGTCTGTCTGTCTGTCTGTCTGTC